AAAAGTACTTTGATAACTTTGGTAATCTTAGAAATCTTTTGGTAATCATGGAAATTTTTTGGAAATCTTAGTAATCTTATGGAAATCTTAGTAATCTTATGGAAATCTTAGTGATCTTATGAAAATCTTTAGGTAATCTTGGAAATCTTGGTAATCTTATGGAAATCTAGGTGATCTTGGAAATCTGTAATCTGGTGTACATAATTTACTTGAGTGATTTACCCCACGGGTCAAATACTGTAACCCTCAACTTCCCTCACTTTGATGCATAGTAACTAATTTAAACAGACATCTTTTTAATTACGTTTCCTTAAGCATACAATATTGTTTTTTCAATGATTATGTTAGGTTTTATATGTGAGTCTAAGATTATAATCAAAAAATCGGAAAGATTAATTTGTTACCTATTATCAGGAATTTAAATTAATTAATGTACTAAGTATTGAACCCATAATTCAAGGATAATCGCTCACATCAATAAAATTCATCAAGTATTTCTGTACTAATGAAAATGTTAAAATAATATTAATATAATTAAATAATTAATTTGATACATAATAAGCTACCTGATCCTAATTAGACAATTATATTCAATTTAACTATATTTGTATACTAATTATTTATAACACTCAACACATTAGTAATATATTAGATCTATACTGCATTATTGATAAAGCGTATGTAATTTGTAATGTTTAAAATATAATTTTTTTTCTAAAGCTTCAAATTTTTTCTCGACAATTATTCTTTTAAAGCTCAATAGTGTGTTATAGGATAAATTGTGTGTAATATTACTTCAATTCCTGGGTGATCGCCCATCCAAGAACAAGTAACAGAAAAGCAGTGTAACAACAGCACCAGATGGCTTTTAAAGTACTTAACCTACTATACCACCCGAAATAACACTGGCGCTTTAAGTTAACAATTGTAACGCCAGTACTCACAACAGTGATTTAATAACAAAGTATAAAATTTTTAAATGTATGAACTTACAGAACGCTATGCCATGCCAGAGGTTCAAATTATTTTATTCATTCACCACAATCATAACTAATCACAATACTGCATTTATCAAATTGAATACATACATGTTTTTAATTTTTATTTTGTCTAAATACATAACAATTAGTTGAGTGTTACAACAAATAATAAACAATACAGTTAAGGTTGGGACATACCAGCTTATTATGATAAGAAACAGTCCAATATAAAAAGTTGACATTGATCATTATAACTAATCTAACATAACCAATTTTGTGTTAATATACTTTGAATGATATTGAATGTAATTTTATAATTGTATTCATATAATATGTCTACCTACATCAGAATGTTGTCAAAAAAAATAAACCATTTTATTTTCATTTTAATACAAATGCTTTTATTATTTTAAGAATAAATTAAATCACCAAAAATATTTTTTCTAAGAGTATCTACCTATATTATATTAACAACAAATTGAAAATTGAAAGATTTATTGTGTTTAACATCATTTTTTGCGCCAATTATACCCAATAAATTTGAGTTTATTTTAAATACTTTGAAGAGAATAATATCTTAACAATGAGTTACGGGCCTTGAATTAAACGAATTTAATATATAATATAGAACATACAACATTTAATGTACCCCGCACTACACTCAGGAAGAAGCTTGAAGGCAAGTCGCCAGTTGAATCTGTAGGACACGGTGAAGTAACATCCACACTTGGAGATGAAACTGAAGCTTTATTATTAGTAGAATGGGTGCTAACTTGTGTCAAAATGGGGTTTCCTGTAGATCGGGAGGGACTGTTAAGTTCAGTTAAGAAACTAGTAGATGAATCAGAAATGAAAACTCCATTTATAAATAATAGACCAGGTAAAAAATGGTTTTATGGATTTATGAACCGCCACAAGTGTTTGTCCCAAAAACATGCCGAGTATGTGAACAAAGCAAGGGGATCAGTGACCGAGGAAAAAATAAGAAAATGGTTTGATGAAGTTTCCGGGGGGTAAACCACTCTGATAATCTGGTGTACACAATTTTGGGAATCCTGATAATCTTTGATAATCTCTGATAATCTATAAGCGCGTTTTCGCGGAGGTACCGAGAGCAAACAGTTTACTAAAATTCGTTTTGGCGATAATTTTATGTCAAAACTGTTTACTGTCTACTCAAATGTTTGGTCCTACGACTAAACGACTATTTCAAGTAGTTTAGTGTTTCTGGTACCTTTGATAATACATTCGATCATTTAATAAAAGAGATTATTATTAAATATTAAGTACCATTTTGCAAATGTGCATGATATTGCATGTAGCCATGGCCAATGCCTATTAGCAATTTGCATTTTCCGATGTGTTTAGTTGTTAACGTGAAACGTCTTGTAGAATTGTTGTTATACAGTATACTTGTATAGTTGTACTTTATATTACGTTTTTAATACAAAAATATATATAAAAGTGTTTACAAAAATGTCGGATTGTAATGCACTAAAATTTGTAAAACTGATTTTGAATGAAGACGACATTCCAATTTATCATGAAAACAATGCAAATGAAGTATTGTGTGATGTATTAACACCAGGTACGTATGAATAATTTATATTTACAGTAGTGTCGTGAAGTTAAGTAAAAAAAAAAATGAAGGTAGCAGTACGACCATGTATATACTAACTATATACAGGGCCGGATTTAGGGGGGAGGGCGAACCGGGGCACTTGCCCCGGAAGTTTTGGTCGGGAGGCGCCAAATTACAAAATAAATTGTGTATATGTATTTATAGGGGAGGGCGCTAATTTTATACTTTGCCCCGGGTAAAAAATATACTAGATCCGGCACTGACTACATATAGTTAGCATACGTTAAATTAAAGAATTAGGAAAGATACTATTAATGTCCTTAATATACCTTAATACCTAAAACCAATAATTTAAAATAATGGAGTAATGGACATTCAGTGCCCCCCCCCCCTTGGCTATGCCACTGTTATTTGTATTTAAACTAATAAAATATAAAATTTTTAATGAATTTAATATACACATTTATAATACACATTTTACAGAAGGAAGTCATGACTGGGCATATGTTGATGTTAAAGTTTTGAGCTCGCATGGAGTGGTTATTCCTAGAGTTGAATGTCAGAAAAAACCAAAATGAATTTATTGAAAAAATTAAAATTAAAAAAGTATTTGATAATTTAGATGACAGCGATGATGAAATAGATAAATATCAATATATGAATAATATAAATTGTGGCAGAATTATGAATGAGTCAATGACTGCATAAAACTATAAGCATGTATTATTACTTACACAGAGGTACATTCTAATTTTTATCCAGCCTAGACTATAATCTATGAATAAAAATTTAGTTAAATGCTGAAATTATTTTGAATTTATTTAGAACATTATGTATACGTCATAAGTAGGGCCCGGATTTATAAACATTTGCATGTTTTTTTTTGAACAGTCACAAAAAGTTGCAAGATAAGCTATAAGTTTGAATTATGATCAATAGATCTAGTATACAATGTTTTATTTGGCATGTTTTGTTTCAAAAATCATGGGCGTTCTCACGGGGGGGGGGGGGGGGGTGGGGGGG